TGATTTCGGGGTTGTAAGTTCAAGCCCCACACTGGGTGTAGAGATTACTTAAACGTCTTTAAAAAAAAAAAAAGAAGCATAGATTTTTTGGATGTGTGAATTAGATTTCAATAAAACAAATGTTTGAAAAGAACTTGGTTAAATTGCACAAACCATGGTTTTCCTTTGTTCTTTCCTTGACTGCTAGAAAAACAACTGTTTGGGTTGTTTTTAGAGCAGTGCTATCAGAAAAATCCTGCAAAAGACATCCTTGTACCTACCCTCTTGTTCACAAATGTGATCTTTCCATGGCATACATTTAGAAGTAAAATCTGTCTTGTCTGATGTGCACACCTTTAATCCCACGAGGAGAGGCAAACTGAAAAAAAACTAAGGTACTTTTCCCAATTTATACTTTCACCAGGGATGTATAAGTTCCCAATTCCCCCATGTTCTTGCCACTTCAGAAATATATTAAACTTGATAATTTTTTTGCTGATTAAAATAGATGAACTCATAACCCAATTTAAGCCTCCTATATAAAGATATCTCATTGTTGTTTTAATTTGCATTTTCCTGACCATTTGGGGTTTCTTTTCTGTAAATTGATGGTTTCTATCCATTGTTCATATTTCTGCTGAGCTATCGGTCTTTTCCTTTCTGATTTTTATAATTTTTTTAATTTTTATTTATTTTTAAGAGAGAGAGAGAGAGAGAGAGAGAGAATGAGTGGAGGAGGGGCAGAGAGAGAAAGAGACATAGAATCCAAAGCAGGCTCCAGGCTCTGAGCTGTCAGCACACAGCCCAACCCAGGGCTTGAACCCACCAACTCTGAGATTATGACCCGAGCCGAAGTCAGATGCTTAACCAACTGAGCTACCCAGGCGCCCCTGTTTCTGATTTTTATACAGCAGGCACACCTTTCCTTTGTAAGCCGTGTGCTGCAAACATCTCCTGGAAGTCTGTGACATATTTTCATTCCTTTTGTATCTTTTAAATGTTAGCTACTCAAAGTAACTCATCTTTTCATTTATATGTTGAGAGACTTCTCTGTGTCCTGACTAGCTTTACATGACAAATATACTCTTCTATATGTTCTAAATTTAAAACATTTTCAATTTTGGGGCACCCGGGTGGCTCGGTCAGTTAAGCGCCCGACTCTTGACATCAGCTCAGGTCACGATCTCACGGTTTGTGAGATCGAGCCCCACATTGGGGCTGCTTGGAGCCTGCTTGGGATTCTTCATCTCCCTCTCCTCTCTCTGCCCCTCCCCTGCTCATGCGCTCTCTCTCTCTCACACACACACATACACAGAGAAACAAATAAACATTAAACAATGTTTTCAATTTTCTTTTTTATATTTCATACATCTGATACTAATTTTTGTCTGAGGCATGAGGTGGGGATCTAATTTTTCCACTTGCAAAACCAATTGCCCCAGTGCCCTTTGTTATTGAAAGACCCGTTTTTTTTCCTTCAAATTGTGTCTTCATAGTGCCTGAGTGGCTCAGTCAGTTAAGCATCCAACTCTTGGTTTCAACTGAGGTCTTGACCTCATGGTTTGTGCGTTTGAACCCTATGTCTGGCTCTGTGCTGACAGTGCAGAGCTTGCTTGAGATTCTCTCTCTCTCTCCCTCTCTCTCTGCCTCTTCCCTGCTTGCTCTCTCTTTTGAAATAAATAAACTTAAAAAAAATTGTGTCTTCAATCTGATGAAATATGCTCACTTCTTTTTACTTTTTACTTTATTTTTAAAAATGTTTAATGTTGGGGCGCCTGGGTGGCGCAGTCGGTTAAGCGTCCGACTTCAGCCAGGTCACGATCTCGCGGTCCGTGAGTTCGAGCCCCGCGTCGGGCTCTGGGCTGATGGCTCAGAGCCTGGAGCCTGTTTCCGATTCGGTGTCTCCCTCTCTCTCTGCCCCTCCCCCGTTCATGCTCTGTCTCTCTCTGTCCCCCCCAAAAAAATAAATAAATAAACGTTGGAAAAAAAAATTAAAAAAAAATGTTTAATGTTTATTTATTTTCGGGAGAGAGAGGGACAGAGTGAGTGGAGGAAGGGAGAGAGAGAGGGAGACACAGAATCCAAAGTGGGCTCCAGGCTCTGAGCTGTCAGCACAGAACTTGACGTGGGGCTCGAACCCACAAACCATGAGATCATGACCTGAGCAGAAGTTGGATGCCCAACCGGCTGAGCCACCCAGGTGCCCCTTCTTTTTTATTATTTATTTATTAGAGAGAGAGCATAAGCACAAGCAGGGGAGAGGAGCAAAGGGAGGGAGGGAGGAGGGAAGAGAGAGAGAGAGAGAGAGAGAGAGAGAGACTCTGAGGCAGGCTCCACACTCAATACAGAGCCCCACATGAGGTTCAATCCCATGACCCTGGGATCACGACCTGAGCTGAAATCAAGAGTCAGGTGCTCAACCGACTGAGCTGCCCAGGCGTCTCAAAATATGCCCCCTCCTATTCCATCATGCTGCCTTCCATTCTTAGCATAGTTCAAACTCTTGGTAGGAAGTGACAAAAGGAGAAACCTAATTTGGAAGGGCTTGGAAACAATAAGGAAAAACGGGGTGGGGGTGGGGGTACCGGGCTTGCCTCAGTCGGTGCAACATGTGACTCCTGATCTTGACTTGAAGCCCCATGTTGGGTGTAGAGCTTACATAAAGAGAGAGAGAGAGAAAGAGAGAGAAGGAGGGAAAGAAGGAAGAAATTGAGTCATGTAACCTAACTAAGCAAAAGACAGAGCTACAGACATCTTCTGACAATTGCATCCACAGGCTCAAATATCATTTACACTTCTCTGTATCTCTCTTCCCTATTTCTATTTCTGGGTTATCATTATTATTCAGACCAGCTGTCCCGAGGAGTCTGGGACTGACAGTGACAATTCTAGGCTGACAGCCTTGCAGACTTTTAGCCAAAGAGGTAAGGGGGGCTTTCACTTACTAGATCAATTTAGGAAAAGATATTATTGGCTACCTTTGGAACATGCTAGAAACCCAACTCACAAAAGTGTTTAACACAGAGGAAAGAAATCAAGCATTTAGCTTGCCTTTCACTTATAACCTACACCTCAGGGAAACTACACAGTTTAGGAGGCCAAACTTCCACTCGTACATAATTTCAACTAACCCATGAAGAAGAAAGCCTCCAGCACTTATCTTGGGTGAATGCATGCCCCCACCTTATCAGGAATAATAAGGGTTTAGCATCCTTCATCCATGTATCTACACAATGGATAGAAAACCCAAGCCTCCCAGCTCCTAGACCAGAGGTCAGCAAATTTTTCTGAAAAGGACCAGAGGGTAGTATTTTCAGCCTTTGTGGACCACAGGATCTCTTATGACAACTCACCTCTGCTCTTGAAGCATGAAAGCAGCCATATCTGTTATGTTAAACGAATAGATGGGGCTGTGTTCTAATAAAACTTTATTTACAAACACAAGTGATGGGCCTATGGCCCACACCCATCCTAGACCATCGCTTTTTGAAATCCGAATGCATCACCGGAATAAGAATTGAATTAAGCTAGGACATATGTGTTCTGGGGTGCCCCTTCCTCAGTTTTCAGATCCAACAAAGTGGGAAACAAGCAGGATAGAATGGTTCCTGGGGTCCTCTCTGTCTTGACACGCAAAGCCCCAGGGGCCATCCCTCCTACCACAGAGGTGGTTTTACCTAAAGGAGGGGCCCATGAGGTCATAAGAGTGGGGCCCCGATCTGCGAGGATTAGTGTCCTTATGAGAAGAGCCACCCAAGAGTTTGCCCTCTGTCTCTGTCTCTGTCTCTGTCTCTCTCTCCACCCACTGCATGAGCACAGAGAAAGGTCACGTGAAGACACAGCAAGAAGGTGGTCATGTGCAAGCCTGAAAGACCACTCTTGCCAGATAGTGCATGGGCTGTCACCGTATCCTGCACCTCCTGCCTCCAGAATTAGGGCGATGTATGCCTTTTGCTTAAATCACCCATTCTAGGGACGCCTGGGTGGCTCAGTCGGTTAAGCGGTGGCTTTGGCTCGGGTCATGATCTCACAGTTCGTGAGTCTGAGCCCCGCATCGGGCTCTGTGCTGACCGCTCAGAGCCTGGAACCTGCTTTGGATTCTGTGTCTCCCTCTCTCTCTCTCTCTCTGCCCCTCCCCCACTCACGCTCTGTCTCTCAAAAATGAATAAATGTTAAAATAAATAATGAATAAATCAATAAATCCCCCATCCTACAGCATGTTTTGGCAGCTGGCGGGAGTCTACTATGGTGTGTGTGTGCACGAGAGAGAGAGGAGAGAGATAGAGACTCTGTGTAGAGCAGAGGCCCCTCTAGGTTCACGATCCAGAGTGTGTCTTCTTTTTTCCCTTTTTTCCCTTTCTCCAAGCTTACTGACCCCTCACCCTCCTCTGCTTCCTGTCCTCACCACCCCCCCCACCCCCACCCCCCACCCCCCACCCCCGCCCCTGTGCCCAGTGCCCTCCCCCAACTCACACAGTGCGAGCAGAGAGGCGGACACACCCAAAGAAGGTGGGAGAATCTGGGACAGGCCAGGGCTCCAAGATCCACGAGGCCTCTCTGCTCTGGGGCTCGCTCACCCCCTTCCCCAGCCAGTTGCTGTAGCCAGTGGCAGCGATGCCCCCCGGGCTGTCAAGGTGAGGCCAGAAGCTGCAAACTTCTCCGGGAAGCAGGCTCCCATCCAAGTTGCAGAACCAGCTGTCTCTCTTCACAATGAGAGTGGGAGCTCGTTCCCAAGATAAACGCCTGAGAGGTTCACGGTGGCAGGAGTAGAGCAGGAAGCCCCAGGCCCGGGGTCCCTTCTGGAGGTGAGCTCCTGCGACTTGCTCTGTGCCCCCTGGGGCTGGCTCAGCCGGCACCCCAGCTTCAGCCAGAAACTCCCAGGATCTGGGCCCCTGTAGCAGCTTCCACTTGGCTCCCCTCCGCGCCCTACACAGGCTAATGAGGTGTGGAGAGCCCCCCCGCCCCCGCCCCCCACCCCTGCCTCCGGGAGAGGGTGGTAGCTGGGGGGAGGGTGATCGTACCTCTGTTCCTCAAGTCCAGGAAGTCATGCTCTTCGAAACTTGGGAGTTCTCGGTGCCCATCTGTCTCACCATGTGGAGGAAGCCGCTCTTTAACAAGAAACCCGAGGATGATTCAGAGCTCCCCCCCCCCCAAGGAGGACAGGGAGTGCCTGTCGCTTTTGTTTTCTTGCTCTGACTGCTTCCCAAACTCAGCACCCCCTCCCTGCCCTCCATCCGTGCAGCTTTCTCGCTCAATCATTCCTGGAACCCTGGGAGCCCAAAATAAATTAATTAATTACATAAATGGCACCCCCCCCCAAAAAAAGGTTTTTGAGTCAGAGCTAGTCTGAGGAGGGATTTTGTTTTCAACAGTCTTTTTTTTTTTTTTTAACATTTATTTATTTTTGAGACAGAGAGAGACACAGCATGAACGGGGGAGGGGCAGAGAGCGAGGGAGACACAGAATCCAAAGCAGGCTCCAGGCTCTGAGCTGTCAGCCCAGAGCCCGACGCGGGGCTCGAACTCACGGACCGTGAGATCGTGACCTGAGCTGAAGTCGGATGCTTAACCGACTGCGACACCCAGGCACCCCCTGTGTTTCATTTATTTTTGAGAGAGAAAGAGCATGTGAGTGGGGAAGGGGCAGAGAGAGACAGAATCCAAAGCAGGCTCCAGGCTCTGAGCTGTCAGCCCAGAGCCTGACGCGGGGCTCGAACTCACAGACCGCGAGATCGTGACCTGAGTTGAAGTCAGATGCTTAACCGACTGTGCCACCCAGGAGCCCCGTTTTCAACACAGTCTTGACAAATATCGTTAAAACCGATGACCCCGACAGCTATCATTCCTGGACATCCCCTCTGGTGTTCCTCCTAAATTACTAGAGGACATCTCCAATTTTATTTTATTTAAAAAAAAATTTTTTTTTAATGGTTGTTTATTTTTGAGAGACAGACAGAACGTGAGTGGGGGAGGGGCAGAGAGAGAATGAGACACAGAATCCCAAGCAGGCTCCAGACTGAGCTGTCAGCACAGAGCCCGACGCGGGGCTCGAACCTACAAACTGTGAGATCATGACCTGAGCCGAAGTCGGACACTTAACCGACTGAGCCACCCAGGCGCCTCTTCAGTTTTAATGAAGTGACTCCTGATTGCTTATTTTCTAAAATTCCAAATGCAGCAGCCAGGGCACGTCCACTGTTGTTCTCCTAACTTGTGTCCAGTGGGTGCGACACGAGGGGGAAGAGGCCAGGACTGTGGAAAGGGAGTGTCCTTTGTTTTCAGATGGTGTTGGGGTATACGTTCGGGTCATGTGAACCTAAGGAAGATTTCTTAAAATCTCTAGGACTCCACGTCCTTGCCCTAGAGAGACAGGCATCCGATAGGGTTGCTGTGAGTGGAAAGACCCAGTGTCCCAGTTTTCCCAGGACTGGGGGGCGGAGGAGGAGGAGGGGGTGCGGGGGGGGGGGAATGTCCCAGGATGTGGGAACGAGGAGTTTCACAGGACACGGATGTTTCAGTTTTGGGGGCTAAAACTGAGAACATCGCGGGCAAAGAGGAAGACTGTGTCACCCTCATTGTAAGCATACACGCTGTAAAGACGGAGGTGTGATAAGAACATTGGCTCAGAAAACCACTCCTTCCTTCCGCCCCGTTACCCTAATGCAGCCACCTCCCAGGTCTCCTTCTTTACCTGTGCCCGTGGGGGACGTCTAAGGCAAGTCTCGCGACCTCCACAGTCATCTCAGGTAGTAAAGGCGTCCAATTAGGCAAATGCAAGGGAAAAAGAGTGTCGGTTCAGTAACTGAAACGCTTTTGGTAGCGAGCACAGTCGGCTTTCTCTTTATTTCCCCGGCTGGTGCTTCTGTCCACTCTCCAGCCCTGGTTCTCACCTGCGGTCCCCCCGATGCTTGTAAATGCACCTCTTCCCGGCGTTCACCGGAGGGCCCCCCTGCTCTGCCTTTGGGGTCCATCACATCGCCAGCCTCTCTGCAGGGCTCACCTTCTACCTCCAGGTGGCGCCGGTGGAAAGGACATAAGACACCTGATTCATTCATTCTGTCCCAAGTGTCTTCAGAGGCATGGTCTCGAGCCCCTGAAAAGTGTCAAAGGTGGGCACGATCCCATTCCTCTCTGAGCCTGCTCTCACCCCAAACCAAGTGGAAGCTTCCCCCCATGAAGCTTGGAGTGAGAAACTGGCAACCTTGTTACACTCCCACGTTGGGACTCCCAGCACCCCAAGAGCTCTCGGAAACAAACACACGAAAACAAAACAAATCAAGGGTTCTAGTTCCGACACCCTTTTTTCGTACCTTCAGGCGAACATGAACCCTGCCCCTGGTCCCTGACCGTCACTCTTCAAAATCGTCAAGGTCATTCAAAACAAGGAAAGTCTGGAAACCGTTGCAGTCAAGACGAGGCACGATGTATCAATGTCATGTATCCCCGAACAGGACAAAGGACGTTAATGTAGAAACTAAGCACATCTGAATAAAGCATGGACTTTAGTTAACAGTAATGTATCAGTGTTGGTTCATCAACTGTGACAAATGTACCATACTAATGGAGGATACAGGGGAAACTGATAACAGGTCATAGAGTAAAGGGGGATCTTTTTGTACTCTCTTTGCAATGTTTCTGTAAATCTAAAACTATTTTTTTTTTTTAGTTTATTTCTTTTGAGAGAGAGAGAGAGAGCATGTGCATGCACGAGTGGGGTAAGGGCAGAGAGAGAGGGAGGAGGAGAGAATTGCAAGCAGGCTCCTCAGTGTCAGTGCAGAGCCTGACATGGGGCTCGATCCCACAAACCGTGAAATCATGACCTGAGCCAAAAAAGCAAGACTCTGATGTTCAACTGACTGAGCCACCCAGGTGCCCTGATCTAAAACTATTCTAATTAAATGCTTTGTTGGGGCGCCTGGGTGGCGCAGTCGGTTAAGCGTCCGACTTCAGCCAGGTCACGATCTCGCGGTCCGTGAGTTCGAGCCCCGCGTTGGGCTCTGGGCTGATGGCTCGGAGCCTGGAGCCTGTTTCAGATTCTGTGTCTCCCTCTCTCTCTGCCCCTCCCCCATTCATGCTCTGTCTCTCTCTGTCCCAAAAATAAATAAACGTTGAAAAAAAAATTTATAAATGCTTTGTTGTTAGGGGCGCCTTGGTGGCTCAGTTGGTTAAGCATCCAACTTCAGCTCAGGTCACGATCTCATGGGTGGTGAGTTTGAGCCCCGCGTCGGGCTCTGTGCTGACAGCTCGGAGTCTGGAGCCTGCTTCGGATTCTGTGTCTCCCTCTGTCTCTCTCTCCCCCTCCCCCACTCATGCTCTGTCTCTCTCAAAAACGAATAAACATTAAATTTTTAAAAAAAAAATAGTGGTTAAAGGGTGAGAGAAAGCGTGTAAGTGCAGGGTGCTGGGAACAGCCTGAGTGCAAGGTGCTGGGGACCAGCATGGGCGCAGGGTCCTGGAACGTCACTCCCAGCCATTCAGGTCCTCCTGGCTGATGCTGGGATATTGTGGAGCAAGACATCCCCACCCCCACTGTGCTCTGCCCAGATTCCCAACCTTATGATCCAATGGTGACAGTTGTTTTAGGTCACTTAGTTTGGGGTGGTTTGGCATAAACCAATAGATAACCAGAACAGGGAAGGAGCAACACTGGGAGCTGGCAATTTGAAGGGAGGAGGGGGGGAAAGCCTGTATTCCCACGGCCCCTGCTCCCCGTCTAGGTTGCTGCTGCCATTTTTTGCCACTAGGTGGCGGCTAATGATTGTCTCCAGCAGAAAGGAAGATGGGGAAGAAGGTCTCCCCCCCCCCCACCCCCGCCCCAGTCCACGCAGCCCCGAGTCTAGCGTCCAACAAACCTCACTTAGAACCGTAATGGTGATTTCCTAACAGAAACTCAATCCCATCCTGCACATCTCCACACTGATACCCTCATTTCCAGCCTCAAGCTGTTTGCACGATCCCAAGAGGCTCCCCAAAGCAGATCAGGAGGCACACACACACACACACACACACACACACAGGGGTCCCTTTTCCTTGTTCCAAAAACCCCAGTTCTGCAGTTTGAGAGAGAGAGAGAAAAGCTGGGGAGGTCATGCTCCCCCCCCCCCCCCGCTCTGCTTTCTGCCCCACGATTGGTCTTTTGCTGACCCTTCAGGAAATGAGATATAGTTTATTGCAACATCATGCTCCCCACTGAGCCTGCCTCTCTCTCTCTCTCTCTCTCACTGTGAGTCCTCACTGACACGACAAAAATCCAGACCGTCAGATTCCAACTCATCAAATAAGACTTACCATATGCTCCAGCTGTTCTGTGTCTGGGCATACAAACCAAAGAATCAAAAGCCGGGACTCAAATGTACAGACTTGTATCAGATATTTGCATGCCCGTGTTCACAGTAGCATTATTCACAATAACAGAAAGGTAGAAGCAGCCTACCAGCAGGTGAATGAATAAACAAAATGTGTGTGCATACATATTAGTCAGCTTAGGCTGCAACCCCAGAATATCATAGCTGGGCAGCTTAAGCAACAGAAATGTATCTTCTCGGGGGCGCCTGGGTGGCTCAGTCGGTTGGACGTCTGACTTCGGCTCAGGTCACGATCTCACGGCTCATGAGTTCGAGCCCTGCATTGGGCTCGGTGCTGACAGCTCGGAGCCTGGAGCCTGCTTCCGATGCTGTGTCTCCCTCTCTCTCTGCCCCTCCCCCGTTCATGCTCTGTCTCTCTCTGTCCCAAAAATAAATAAACGTTGAAAAAAAATTAAAAAAAAAAAAAAAAAGGAAGGACCTTCTACACTTCCCATGTTACAACATGGATGAAACTCAAAGACATTATGCTCAGTGAAATAAGCCAGGACGTAAAAGGACAAATCCTGTACGATTCCTCATACATGAGTGCCTACGGTAGTCAAACTCATAGGGGCAGAAACTAGTCTCCGGCGGCTGGAGGGAGAGAATGAGGGGTGACTGCTTCATGGCTACGGAGCTTCCCTGTGGGAAAACAAACAGTTCTGAAGGAAATGGACAGCAGTGTGAATGGACTTCCTGCCACTGATCTGTAGCCTTTGTTAAAAAAAATTATTTAAATATTTATTTATTTTGGAGAGAAGGAGAGAGAGCACGAGCGGGGAAAGGGAAGAGAGAGAAGGAGACACCGAATCCAAAGCAAACCCCAGGCTCCGAGCTGTCAGCCCAGAGCCCGACGTGGGGCTCGAACCCACAAACTGTGAGATCATGACCTGGGCCAAAGTCAGACACCCAACCGACTGAGCTACCCAGGCGCCCCTGAACTGTATGTAACCTTAATAATGATTAAAATGGTAAATGTTATGATTACACATCTTTTACCACAATAAAAAAAATTTTTTTTTCTAACTCGTGTGGATTAACCAGAAAATCCCTAGGGGCCTGCATCTGATGGAATAAGATGCAGAAACTTAACAAGTAAGCCTGCAGGAGAGGAAACTTGCAATCAAGTCAGGGGGTCCATCAAGGGATGACTCCTGCTTTAGGGCTTTCCCTGTATTTTACCAGGGTTGCACCCATAATGGTTAAACTCCCTGTAATGGTTAAACCCCTGTTGGGGAAACAGGAGACAGAGGCCGATACAGCTCCCTGTCTTGACCAAATCCCCCATTTCTGGAATTATTTTATGTATCTAGCTATTTAACAAACATTTATTTAACACCTACAATGTGCCAGGCTTTTGGGGTTTTTTGGGGGGGGGGGTTGCAAGGGCTATTACTATTTTTTTTAATGTTTATGTATTGATTGATTTGGGGATGGGGGAGGGACAGAGAGAAAGAGGAAGACAGAGAGAATCCCAGGCAGGCTCATCAATGTCAACACAGAGCCAGACATGGGGCTCAATCCCAGGAACTGACCATGAGCTCATGACCTGACCCCAAATCAAGAGTCAGACGCTTAACCAAATCAGCCACTCAGGTGCCCAGGGCTATTACTATTTTTTTAAAAAGAGCCAAAAATAAAAAATAAATTTGAAAAAGGGGGGCGCCTGGGTGGCTCAGTTGGTTAAGCTTCTGACTTCAGCTCAGGTCACGATCTCGTGGTCGGTGAGTTTGAGCCCCGCGTCGGGCTCTGTGCTGACAGCTCAGAGCCTGGAGCCTGCTTCGGATTCTGTGTCTCCCTCTCTCTCTGCCCCTCCCCTGCTCACGCTCTGTCTGTCTGTCTCTCAAATATAAATAAAATTAAAAAAAAAAGTAGTCAAGGTCCCCACCTTCATGGAGTTTATATTCTGCTTGGAAAGATGGGCAGAACCAAGTAAGCAAATATTTACAGATTATGCTGGATATAAACAGGGTGACATGATAGAACCTAAAAGATGTGTGGAGGGTAGGTCTTACCTTTAGGAAGGGAGTCAGGGAAGGCTTGGAAGGAAAGTGTTTATGAGAATTAAACACTGTGAAGTATCCAGCCAAGAGAAATGGAAAGGGAATTGCCATTCAGGCAGCCATTCAACCAGTGCAAAGGCCCTGAGGCAGGGGAGACTTGGCATATTACACTTCTAAAACCTGATACGAGACCAGTGCAACCCAGGGCAGAACAAAGCACAGGAAGAAAGGTACAAAGCCAGATCATGTGGAGCCAGGAGAAGAAATCTGAATTTCCATCTAAGCGGAAAGTGCCTTCGTAACACTGATACGGGAGACGCGAAAATTCCTAAGACCTCCTTATCTTGTGGTTTTTACATCTCACACTTGAGGGTTCCTTGTTTTTCCTTGAGTAGAGGGTGAAGGTTTAGAGCTGATACCCCCAGATTCTGCGCTGTGCCCTCCTCTGACCCCACATAGACCTCTCTGGGCTCCAGTGGATAGTGCTGCCACAATGTTCATGGACGGGTCTTTGTTGCAACACCTGTTTTCAGTTATAGGAAACATCCAGCACTGGTCAATCCACAGACACAGAAAGTAGACAAGGGGCTCTCAGGGACTAGGGGTAGGAGGAAATGGAGAGTAGGTGTTGGGTGAGGCCAGGGTTTCCTTCTGGGGCATAAGACGTCTTGTAACAACGTTGGGAATGTACTAACTTCTGCCGGGTGGTTCGCTTAAAAATGGTTAATGGTTGGGGCACCTGGCTGGCTCATTTGGTGAAGCATGCGACCCTTCATCTGGGGGGTATGAGTTGGAGCCCCACGTTGGGTGCAGACATTACTTAAAAATAAAATCTTAAATTTTTTTTTAATTAGTTAATTTATTTTGAGAAAGACGGAGAGAGCGAGCCAGGGAGGGACAGAGAGAGAGAGAGAGAGAGAGAGAGAGAGAGAGAATCCCAAGCAGGCTCCACAATGTCAGCGCAGAGCCTGACGCGGAGCTTGAACTCACGAACCATGAGATTATAACCTGAGCCAAAACCAAGACTCGGATGCTTAACCGACTGAGCCACCCACACTCCCCAAAAATAAAATCTTAAAGAAAAAAAAAATGGTTAATGGTTAAGTTTACATTGTGTGAATTTTACCTCGATTACATAAGTAAACAACTGGGGGCGCCTGGGTGGCACAGTCGGTTGAGCGTCCGACTTCAGCCAGGTCACGATCTCGCGGTCTGTGAGTTTGAGCCCCGCGTCAGGCTCTGGGCTGATGGCTCGGAGCCTGGAGCCTGTTTCCGATTCTGTGTCTCCCTCTCTCTCTGCCCCTCCCCCGTTCATGATCTGTCTCTCTCTGTCCCAAAAACAATAAAAACGTTGAAAAAAAATTAAAAAAAAATAAGTAAACAACTTTGTAAATATCATGACGTCTAAACAAATATGTCTGTGGGTCTTATCTGTCCCTCTGGCCATGAGTTTGAATCTTCTTCTTCGGGCTTTAAAAAAAATAAAAAGACAAATATTACACAGAAAAATTTACATGGTTAGACTGCATTTTCATGAAGTTCAAACATACGCAAAATGAAACAACTTTCTTTAAAGAATAGAATTATAGTTTGCAAAACTATAAGGAAAAGGGAAGGATTTGGGGTGCCTGGGTGGCTCAGTCAGTTAAGTGTCTGACTTCAACTCAGGTCATGGTCTCGTAGTTCATGAGTTTGAGCCCTGTATGGGGCTCTGTGCTGACAACTCAGAGCCTGGAGCCTGCTTCGGATTCTGTGTCTCCCTCCCTCTCTGCCCCTCCCCTGCTCATGATCTGTCTCTCTCTGTCTCAGAAATAAATATTAAAAAAAATAAAAATAAAAATAAATGATGGGGCGCCTGGGTGCCCCAGGTGGTTAACTGTCTGACTTCAGCTCGGATCACGATCTCACAATTTGTGGGTTCGAGCCCCGCGTCAGGCTCTGTGCTGACAGCTCAGAGCCTGGAGCCTGCTTCGGATTCTGTGTCTCCCTCTCTCTGCTCCTCCCCTGCTTGCACTGTCTCTCTCTCTCTCTCTCAAAGATGAATAAATGTTAAAAAAAATTTATAAATATATAGAAGGTGAAGTGATGCAAGTTAATGCTTCAATAACTGGTCCCATATCATGATGTGTTTCCAGTTACTGGTCTTTGCTGGGTCTCCGCTCCCTTCCCCCACCTCCGAGGAGTCCACCAGACTGCAGGTGGCAAAGAAGGTGCAGAGTGAAGGCCTTGCTGCACAAAGAGCCATTCCCAAGACCGGAGGACTCTCCCCCGAGGCAGACAGCTCTCAGGGCATCCCCGAGCCGGCTGGGCTCAAAGTCAAGCAGGGAAAAAAACAAACGTGTTGCTGATCCCCTTGCCTGGCTCTGACCGGAGTTTATAATTACACGTCCATTACTGTGATTATGTGATTAATATCTGTTTCCCTCACCAGACTGTCAGCTCCCTGGGGGTCCCTTTTTTGCTCTCTACTGTATGCTGGGCCCAAAGTGCCACTCGATAAATAATAACAGCAGGGCTGATCGAGTCATGACCCCGTGCCAGGTTGTCCTCCAGGGCTCTGCAGGGATTAGGACGGCATTACTCCTGGCAGCGGCTGTAGGGGTAGCACACGAGGAGCTCCTGTAAGGGATGAAGAAGCGGCGAAAAATTGCTCGGGCTGTGTTTCCCCACCAGCCCCTGCCCCACGCTCCCGCCACCTGTCCAAGGCCGTGAACCCACCTCCGCAGCTCTTCCCCAACAGCATCCTCAGCAAGGAGGCTGCTGGGAACCCTGGGACAATTTGTAATTATATAACATGTCGTATCATACAAATATTAACTTACATGTTACATTATAAATATCGTATGGATACACTACAATAGATTATATTGTATGTTATGTTTCATATATGTAACGTTATGAATGCTATAGTCATATAACATGAGAGGCTACTGGGCGCCTGGGTGGCTCAGTTGGTTGAGTGTCCGACTCTTGATTTCGGCTCAGGATTTTGGCTCACGCCATGATATGGTTCGAGCCCCACATTGGGCTCTGCTCCAACAGTGTGGAACCGCCTTGGAATTATCTCTTTTCTTTCTGCCCCTCCCCTGCTCTCTTTCTCTATCTCCCAAAATAAATAAATAAACTTAAAAAAAAAAACAAAAACGAAAACAAAGGGGCACCTGGGTGGCTCAGTCAGTTGAGCCTCTGACTTCGGTCCAAGTCATGATCTCGCAGTCCACGAGTTTGAGCCCCATGCCTGGCTCTGTGCCGATGGCTCAGAGCCTGGAGCCTCCTTCGGATTCTGTGTCTCCCTCTCTCTCTGCTTCTCCTCCACTCATGTTTTGTCTGTCTCTCTCAAAAATAAATAAACAGTAAAATTAAAAATAAATAAATAAATAAATAAATATATTTTAAAAAACCATGACAGGCTATTAATATAAATAATATTTATGTAATGATTACTATAATATATAATGATGCAATATGGCTATATAGTTACTTAATTGTATTTATTTAAAAATATTTTTAATGTTTATTTTTGAGAACGAGAGACAGAGTGCAAGCAGGGGAGAGCCAGAAAGAGAGAGAGACACACAGAACACAAAACAGGCTCCAGGCTCTGAGCCGTCAGCACAGACAGCTCGCAGGGCTTGAACTCATGAACTGCGAGATCATGACCTGAGCCGAAGTTGGATGCTTAACCAACTGAGCCACCCAGGTGCCCCTATAATTGTATTTATAATATACAACTAAACATAGAAAATGTTAAGATAACATATCAACATATTAAATATCCATATTATTAATATAGTAACCAATTAACTATAATCATACACTATATATTATTGGTATATAAAATATTATATATGATATGTGTAATTATCTTTAAGTTGTAAATATAACATTTAGGAAATCAAACGCATGATGTTAGCACATTTGTATTCATAAATCAGCACATATTCCCTATTGTAATTTTTTTTTAAGATTTTATTTGTCAAGTAATCTCTACACCCAACGTGGGGCTTGAACTCAAGACCTCAAGATCAAGAGTTTGCTGTACCAACTGAGCCAGCCGGGTGATCCTATTTCAAACATTTTTAAGTTTAAGAGACTTTGGCCTTTGAAAGGTAACAGACGAGCTTCAGCTATCCCTGTGAAACCAAAGAATGCACTCAAGCCACGATTCATTCTTTCTTTCTTTCTTTCTTTCTTTCTTTCTTTCTTTCTTTCTTTCTTCCTTTCTTTTTTGGCTGCATCTACAGAAAGGCAACTTTCTCTTTTTTTAAATATTCATTTATTTTTGAGGGGGGAGGAGGGGCAGAGAGGTGGGGGGCAGGGGGACAGAGGACCCCAAGCAGGCTCTGCACTGCCAGCAGAGAGCCCCAGGTGGGGCTCGAACTCACGAACCGTGAGATCATGACCTGAGCGGAAGTCACACGCCCACCCGACTGCGCCTCCCAGGAGCCCCCTCCAGCTGTGACTGTGGAGTTGAAATACACACCTGGTCTTCCCAAGGTGCGAGGCCGGTCCTTGGGCCTGAGCGCTGGAGCCCTGGACGTGGGTCTTGGTTCTCTGTAGCATCAGCTGGTGCTGTTCCGGTTCCTACCAGCTTTCTAGTGCACAGTGATGACAGCGTTCCCTGAGAACACAGCCACTGTCCCTACAACTCTCCCTGCCTCCTTCTGAGCCCTGGGGATGCGTGTCCCCACCGACCGTCTCCTGGAGCCCAGGGCGGCTCTTCTGTCGGGCACCTCCAAAGCCCCCTGCCTGTCCCTGCCCCCGTCCCAGAGCCCCGTGTGTCACACCGTTTCCAGGCACTAGAATCTGTCCAGCCCGCTGGGGCTGCCCTAACAAAGCACCACAGACCAGACCGGTGGCCTGAAGGACACTGTGTACTGTCTCCAGGTTCTGGAGGCGGGGAGTCCAGGGTCAGCGGGTCTCGGGGTTGTCTCCTTCTGAGGACCGTGAGGGAGAATCCGTTCCCGGCTCTCTCCTCGGTTCACAGGCAGCTGAGGGCCTCTGTGTCTTCCCTTGGCGCCTGTCTGCGTCCTCCCCTCCTTACAAGGACTCCAGTCATACTGGAGGAGAGTCCACCCCGATGACCTCGCTTTCACCTGGGTACCTCCGAACAGACCCTGAGATCCTGGGGGTCGGGATCCCAGCACAGGCGTCCAGACGTGGGATGCAGTTCAACCCACGATGTGTGTGCTCTAAGCTGCTGAGTTTTCTGGTCACTCTGTGGGTTTGTTGACATGTGACTTCGGGGCTGCTAAGTAGCAGGTTTCCGGAGAGCACAAGGGGTCACTCTTCGCCACCCCGGAACGCACAACCATATCCAAACAGACTCCAAATCAAAGCTCTGAAATTTCCAAACCTTTAATCCCAAACCAGACCACAGCGAGGCCAGACCCAGCGATTTCCCCTCCCCCTCCCCTGTTTCCCCAAGGTTCAAATTAGTTGGAAGATGCCTCTCTCACAAGTGAATACATCCAGATCTGGGAAATGAATCAGTCCAAGTCCGTCCTAAGACCCCCTGACCTCATCCCCCCCACCCTACTCCCCAGTTACCCCATCAGGTCCCCCTGCAAGCCTTCCCTGGGGACCCTCGTTTGTAAAAGGCCTCTCTCCATCGTACCCCAAGCATCCCAATTCGGCCACCGAGAAGAACATATTCACAGAGGGAAAACATGAGGCAGGAGAGGGAGGTGTGTGCAAACAACGTGTGCCCCACAGCAGGCAGAACACAGTTTCTCCAGGACAAGGGGAAAGACTTTGAGGGATAAGAAGAAAAGGAAGGAGTTAGAGAAGGCACAGTGCTGGCTCTAGGTGGCCCTGTGCCCCAGCTTGGGGCAGAGTGAGCCCCAGGGCCCCGGAGGCAAGGTGAGCAGGAGGAAGCAGCCACTGGCCAGCAGGAGGACCAGGCTGGCCCCCATCCCACAGCCCAGGGACCAGGAGTATTCGTAGGCCAGGGCTGGGGCTGGGGGAGGCTCAGGGCTGACTCTTTGCAGCAGGGCTTGGACAGAATGTCGGAACACCTCCAGGCTGACCAGGAGCAGCAGGCCTGTGGGGAGAGGACAGGCATGGCGCTCAGGCCCCCGGGGACCCCGACCTGGGTCTGAGCGTCTCCCCAGCACACCCCATCTCATGCTCGTTCAAACAGGAAACCTGGGGGGCCCTCAGCACCACCCCACCTAATTCCTTCGACAGCTACTTACTAAACACCAACCCTATAGCACGAGTCTGGAAGCTGGAGATAAAGAAGGAACACCACACCGACAGATGCAGAAGGGAGAGTGGTGGTCGCCAGAGGCCGAGGGGCTGGGGGAACAGGATGGGGGGTGGGGGCTGCTGTTGGACGGGGACAGAGTTGTGCTTGGGGAAACACGAAAGTGAAAAGGCTCTGGAGATGGATGGTGAACGTGCTTAGTGCCACAGAACTGAGCACAAAACAGCTGAAATGGTAAATTTTATCTTATGTGTGTTTTAGCGCTTTAAAAAAGAAAAATGTGGGGGTGCCTGGGTGGCTCGGTCGGGCGGCCGACTTGGGCTCAGGTCATGATCTCATGGTTTGTGGGTTCGAGCCCCGTGTCCGGCTCTGTGCTGACGGCTCGGAGCCTGGAGCTGCTTCAGATTCTGTGTCTCCCTCTCTCCCTCTGCCCCTTCCTTGCTCACGCTCTGTCTCTCTCTCTCAAAAATAAATAAACATTTAAAAAATTTAAAAAAAGGAAAAAGCAGGGGTGCCTGGGTGGCTTAATTGGTTGAGCATCCAACTCTTGATTTCAGCTCAGGTCATGATTCCAGCGTCATGGGATCGAGCCCTGTGTCAGGCTCCAAGCTGAGTGTGGAGCCTGCTTAAGATTCTCTCTCTCTCTCCGCCCCTCACTCCTGCTCTCTCTCTCTCTCTCTCTCAAAAAAAAAAAAAAAATCAAAGTCCAAAATCAAAAACACGAAAATCAATTAAAGACTACGTTAAAAAATTGTTTGAAAAAATAAAAGGGGCACCTGGCTGGTTTGGTGGGTAGAGAATGTGACTCTTGACCTCTGGGTCATGAGTTCAAGCCTCATGTTGGGCATGGAGTTTACTTTTAAAAAAGTAAGGCTTTTGGAAAGAGCGATAGTAAAATCTGGAATAGTTGAACTCACCATGGAAGCACAGAACAGAAGGTGGTTGCCAAGGGCTGGCGGGGGAGGGGAAAGGGGAACATGTGGGGCAAAGGTACAGAACTCAATTGCGCAAGACAAACGAGTTGTGGGGATTCCATGTGCAGCGGGGTGACTATAGTTAGCAATACTGTATCACGCATGTTACAAGACGAGAGCCTCGGTGTTCTCACCACACACACCAAGGTGGCCACGTGAGGTGATGCATGTTGTTAACTAGTTTAACTGTGGTGATCACTTCATGACGTGCATGTATATCAAAACCCCAAGTTGTACACCTTAAAGATCTACAATTTCTACTCACCATTCATACCCTAATAAAGCTCATCAACCATACCCCAATAAAGATGGTGAATCACGAAACAAAAGGAAAGGCAGTCAAGTTAAGTTGCAATGAAATTTGATTTAAAAAAAAAAAACATGACACAAAAACAGACTCTCAGATCAATGGAACAGAATAGAGAACCCAGAAATGGACCCACAAACGTATGGCCAACTAATCTTTGACAAAGCAGGAAAGAATATCCAATGGGATAGAGACAGTCTCTTCAGCAAGTGGTGCTGGGAAAATTGGACAGCGACATGCAGAAAAATGAACAGGGACCACTTTCTTACACCCTACACAAAAATAAACTCAAAATGGATGAAAGACCTAAATGTAAGACAGGAAGCCATCAAAATCCTCCGGAGAAAGGAGGCTAAAACCTCTGTGATCTTGGCCGCAGCAACTTCTTACTCAACACGTCTCCGGAGGCAAGGGAAACAAAAGCAAAAAGGAACTACTGGGACCTCGTCAAAATAAAAAGCTTCTGCACAGCGAAGGAAACAATCAGCAAAACTGAAAGGCAACCGACAGAATGGGAGAAGATATTTGAAAATGACATATTAGATAAAGGGTTAGTATCCAAAATCTATAGAGAACTTACCAAAGTCCACACCCAAAAAACAAATAATCCAGGGAAGAAATGGGCAAAAGACATGAATAGACACTTCTCCAAAGAAGACATCCAGATGGCCAACTGACACATGAAAAAATGCTCAACGTCACTCATCATCAGGGAAATACAGATCAAAACCACAATGAGATACCACCTTGTACCTGTCAGAATGGCTAACATGAACAACTCAGGCAACAACAGATGTTGGCAAGGACGGGGAGAAAGAGGACCTCTTTTGCACTGCTGGTGGGAATGCAAACTGGTGCAGGCACTCTGGAAAACAGTATGGAGGTTCCTCAAAAAACTAAAAATAGAACTACCCTATGACCCAGCAATTGCACTACTAGGCATTTATCCACGGGATACAGATGTGCTGTTTCGAAGGGACACATGCACCCCCATATTTATGGCAGCGCTATCAACAATAGCCAAAGTATGGAAAGAGCCCAAATGTCCATTGATGGATGAATGGATAAAGAAGATGTAGTATATATATATATACAATGGATTATTACTGGGCAATCAAAAATAATGAAATATTGCCATTTATAACTATGTGGATGGAACTGGAGGGTATTATGCTAAGCAAAATTAGTCAGAGAAAGACAAATATATGACTTCACTCATATGAGGACTTTAAGACACAGAACAGAGGAACATAAAGGAAGTGAAACAAAAATAATATAAAAACAGGGAGGGGGACAAAACATAAGAGACTCTTAAATATGGAGAACAGAGAGTTACTGGAGGGGGTGTGTGGGGGGAGATGGCTAAGTGGGTAAGGGGCATTAAGGAATCTACTCCAGAAATCATTGTTGCACTATACGCTAACTTGGATGTAAATTAAAAACAACAACAACAACAACAAGAAAAGAAGAAAGTACAAGACAGAGACCCTAACCTCATGGAGTTTGTATCTTAGATGGAGGGGACAGGTGGTAAACAAATACACCAAGGCTTGCAAAACTCAAATGCCTGCAGGAGGCAATGAGAAAGCAGAAGTCAACAACGCCGGGGCGGGCGGGGGCGGGGGGGGGGGGGGGGAGACAAAGAGTCCAAAACTCAGCTTCAGCCAACTGCAACCCTTCAGAAATGGGGACTTAAATTGCCAGATCTTCTGAGTTTTTAAGATTAGCTGGAATTTTGTAAATGATTACTATTTTTTATGGGAATTTGCCCAACCTTGAAACATTGGCTCAGAGAAACGTTATGCCCTGCCCGCCAAAGTCCATTTGTGGGTCATCGCTGGCCACAGGCTGCCAGGTTGTAACGTCCAAAGTAAACACATGAGAAGACGAGATAATTTCAGAGAGTGATGTGTGCCGGGAAAGATAGAACAGGGTGATGGGAAGGCGAGTGACATCCAGGAACAGAGCTGGAGATGATGTCTCCGTTTGAGATGATGTCACCAGGAAAAGCCATTTGAGCTAAGACTTGGAGGATGAACAGAAGCCAGGTTCTGGAGGAAGCACAAAACTAAGTGATGGCCGGTGCAAGAGGAAGGAATGGCTTGTGCAAAGGCCCGGTGGTAGGATGAGTACAGTGTGTCTGGGGGAGAGAAAGAAGGTCAGTGTGGCTGGAGAAAAGACAGTGGGGAGGGGAGAGTGGTGGGGAATAGACGTGCAGAGGTGGGCAGGGGTCAGATCTTGTAGGACCATCTGATGGCCCATGAGTCATGGGTCCTAGCTACCCCCTCTCTCAGACCCTGGACTCTTCTCCCCCCCCCCCACTCCCTGGTACTTCGTTCCCCCCATGGTTTTTGTTTTTGTTTTTGTTTTTTAATGTTTATTTATCATTGAGAGACAGAGAGAGACAGAGCATGAGCAAGGGAGGGGCAGAGAGAGGAGGAGACACAGAATCCGAAGCAGGCTCCAGGCTCTGAGCTGTCAGCACAGAGCCCGACGCAGGGCTCGAACTCACAAACCGCGAGATCATGACCTGAGCCAAAGTCAGACGCTCAACTGACTGAGCCACCCAGGCGCCCCCCCCCCCAGGGTTTTTAATCGGGGTCCTGGAGAATGCAGCCAGGAGTCTGTGATCTGTGGGTCAGTAGCTCCCCTCTGAGGCCTCCTTGGCCCCACGCAGCTCAGCTTAGGGACCCAGAGGTGGAAGAATATTCAGACAAGACACTCTCCAGTCCCCTTTATTCCTATGCAAATTCATGCCTCATTGATTCATTCAACACATCTTAATTGAGCCCCCATTATAAAATATATAAACAAGGCTAACAGGGGTACCTGGGTGGCTCAGTCAGTTGAGCGTCCGACTTCGGCTCAGGTCAGGAACTCGCAGTCTGTGAGTTCAAGCCTCCTGTCGGGCTCTGTGCTGACAGCTCAGAGCCTGGAGCCTGCTTCGGATTCTGTGTCTCCCTCTCTCTCTGCCCCTCCCCCGCTCACACTCTGTTTCTCTCTGTCTTTCAAAAATAGATAAATATCAAAAAAAAAAAAAAAAAGACTAACAAAGGCCTTGTCCTCTTGGAGCTCCATCCCAGAAGGAGAATTAGACAATAATAGGGCAAATGTATTGCTGTGGACTGAATTGTGCCTCCAAAAGTTCAGGTGTTGGAGTCCTGACCCCCTAGTTTCTTGAAATGTGACTATATTTGAAGATAGAATTTTTTTAAGTTTTTTGTTTGTTTGTTTGTTTTGAGAGAGAGTGTGAGGGGGGAGGGACAGAGAGAACAGGAGACAGAGAATCCCAAGCAGGCTCCCACATTCACAGATGCAGGGGGCTTTAACTCAGGAACTGTGAGATCACAACCTGAGCCAAAACCAAGAGTCGTCGGACACTTAACCAACTGCCACCCAGGCGCCCCGAAGACAGAGTCTTTAAAGCAATAATTAAACAGACATGAGGCCACTAGGGTCTTAATCCAATATGGAGGGCAATATGGTGGTGTCCCCACAAGAAGAGGAGAGGAGAACACAGATACACAGATTGAGGACACGGGGAGAAGACAGCC